GCCAAACATTAATTTGAAATAGAATTTTTTTCAGTATTTAACCGGAACCCTCACAGATAATTTTTTTTATTGAATGATGATGCTGTTTTGTGGAGTACAGTATAAGGTAATGATAAGACAGAATTTGGTACTCACTTTTGGCATTTTTTTGCGAGAAAGAAAGACTTATTGACGAATGTGACTTATTACAGCTTCAAAGATGATCTCAGTAGTCTGAAATTATTTTGCCAGTTTTGTCTATTACACATCTTATGCATGGCTGATCATATATGCATGCATATAATCAGAAATATATACATATTTTTATTACTTAACGCCTGAGAAATATTTATCGAGTCATAAAAAGAAGTAATACATGAGTGTTTTAAATCAATAAAATCTTTACTTCCCACGCTCCTAAGGTAATTATTTAAGGAATGTTATATTATCTAGTATGCGGTTTCTGCAATAAAAATACACATCGAAACCACTCTTTTATTTTTTATTCCATATTTCCATAATAACTAGTAATAACACCAGCGAAACGACTTACTTATGAATATCATTGGAAAAGAGAAATGGTAATCGAATTCAAACAGTGGCGTGCTAAATTTAAGTCTAAGTAAATGCACAATTTTTCATTAACGTATTCTAAGGTAAGAGATACCCTAGAACATTCAGAAACAAAAAACAAGTACAAGTAAAGTACAGTACGTCTATCCGTTCTGTAGCTACGGGGCATCTGTAAAAGGGGAAACGATACTCTCTCGATGTTTTTCGTAAAAAATTAGACGACGCGATCACTCCGCCCACTCATTTTATAGGCTACTGCAAATTTGTCGAATTTTTATTGATGGGACGCGTCGTCTAATTTTTTACGAAAAACATCGAGAGAATATCGTGTCCCCTCTCACGGATACCCCGTAGTTAGAGAACGGATAGCCGTACTGTATTTCCATAGCAAACTTACTCCTAATATAAGAATTAATAAAATAAAAAATAATGAAAACGATATTTAAAATATGATCTCTAAATCTAACTACTTCGCAAATGCCTCTAACACTAACTGTCCTAGTACATAGTTATAAACTACCGATCCGTATCTTTATTGCCCCAAGACCAAAAAATATTTATGAGGGTAATCGCAAACCAAATAACAATGATATAAAATTGACGTTACAAACATAGACGTAGCGCAAACTGGATTTCAGAAAGCACATCAAACTGTCTACTCAGAACTGGAATCTTCACAAAGAAAGCAAATGATATTCAGCAACACCATTTAGCTTATTTTTTGTCGAGAAGGCATTGCTAACAAACTTAGAAGGTATCATCAATAAATGCAGAATAGATTCCTGCTATAAACGACTTATAACATACGATCAAAAAAACGTGTGTCAGAGTTGATTTGGAAAAATATGTAATCGATCGTGAAATCCTAGCCAACTTGACGGCACTTATTTTACTAATACGGTACATAATATATAAATAAAGAAGAATATATAGATACAACAAAATATACCACTTAAGAAAATTTACTGACTTTAGAGGATGCTTTTAGATCAAAAGTTTGGACAAATTGTGATACAGTATAATTTCCAAAGCCAGTTGGACTGGTTGTGATCTGTCATCTTTTGGTGTAGACGACGGAGCTACCGACTATGGAGCCAATATTATTTAAAACCCAATAAAAAATACATTTAGTTAAGATTAACAACTGATAATATTATATTTTCTACACTATTCGACGAATTATAAACTAGGACGGAGGAATTAACTATAAGCATAAGATAAAATGGAATTAAAAATTAGTTTTCAGAGAAGCAAAACAAACGCTAATAAAATCATAAATATGTTGTTACCACATCTAAGTATTTCTAATTCTTGTCTAGATTATACGGAAGAATAAGGAACCTTTATTCTTCCGCAAATATATCCATAGGATTAGATCCATGGGCACTAAGTCAGGCGGCCTGGACGGCCAACGGCTGGGATCTTGGTTGATAACTGGGAACATTTGCTGATAACTTCAGCGTTCAGAGGCGTTACGTCGTCTTGCTGGAAAAATATGTTTTCGAGTTCCATTAAGGGCATATCATCAATAAGGGGTCCAAAGCCTACTAGTTAAAAGTGGCAAACTTTTAAAAATTCTGTATTTCGAAGGGGATTATAACAAAATATCAAGTGTGCTATATTTTTGGAAAGGTAATTTTAAATTCTTTTTAGTTAATTAAAAATATAGACTGTGTCCCAAATAAAAAATCAATTTTTCTGTTGATAACTTTTAAATTATTAATTTAAAAAAAATTATACTTAAACAATTAAATTCTACGTAAAAAGGTGCTTTGGAAATGTTTTCATAGAAATACAAAATTTTCCATAATAAAAAAGTTACAGCGATTTGTTTAAAATGCACATTTTTAAAAAACACCCCGTAACTCCGAAACGGTAACAGATATTGATGTGCGGTTTTCACCATCATGATTTTGGTAAAAATTGAGCTCCAGACACCGATATTAGTTTTCGTCTATCTCCTATAAAAAAGGGTGTTTCCATTTAAAAGCGTCGAATTTGACCCACCCTGTACATTGGCATGTGTAGAATTTCGTAAAATTAAATTAAACTATTAAATCCAAAGTATATATACTTTGATTTTTAATGTTTGTTTTTTATTGACAAATATTTGCCGGTCATTTCAGCCTCATCTCAGTCTTGTTTTAATATGGAAAATATGAACGTGTATTTGGATTAATTTTAATTGTATTTGTAAGTTACGACGACCTTTTTGTACTCTGTTTTTTTTCTCAGGTAAGATTTCGACAGACGATGACAGAAGAAAAGCAGATGACGTCCCATACCAATCTATTTATTTTACTAAAAAAAGTTTCTAATAATTTTTAAGTTATCTATGGATGGGTTTAAATATAAATCCGTCATACGTCGTGTCTTGTTGTTTTTAACCAGTTTTATTGGTTTATTTAAAAAATGACAGATCGTATTTCAATTTTATTGATTTGACGGAACGATGAACGACAAACGGACGCCGATGCGCATGAACTCGCCTTTAGATTTTTGTCATTTTTGACGCTTGTCAAAGTCTTGCCAAATTATAGGTTAGAATTTTTGTTAAATACCCTGCGTTTTGGAAGATGATGCATGTTGATTCGTATTATTACGTGTGTTTTGTGTCTTTTGAAGTCAAGTGGAGGAAAAATCGAGTGAAAATTAACTGTAGACCCAGAGCACAGTTTATGGTTTATACTCGCTGCCCAGGCAGAAAGTTTTATACACCAATGAAGTTGCCATCGATAAAGTTTGTATACCATTTCGTCGTAGATAAGTGCATCTCGTATATGGTAGAAGGATCAAACTAAACACATACTAAAAACTGGAGTAGCTGTAAAATATCGACATCACACGATAGGTAAATAATGGATTTTAGTACTGCAGAAAAATAATGTCAAAAGGTACTGGTTTAAAAAAATTAAGATTAAAGTTAATTAATCAACCTTTAAGGTATAAAATTTGGTAGGTGTTATTATTAATAAAATAGTTTGTTTTATTTACCTATGTTGTTTTATTTATTCCTGTGGAATATTACAAATTTGTATTTGTACATAAGTTATATTGATAAATATAATCATAAATGCCGGTAGTTTCATAAAGCTTGAAAGTAAATAATAGTTCTTTTTTATATTTTTTTGGTATGTAGTGTCTTGTTCTTGTTTGTTTTGTATTAAGATATACCGTTTTTATTAAATAAAATAACTCGATTACATTTTTTCAGTTTTATACAGTTTTTTTCACAATATTTTGAAGTAATCACTTGTCATCTTGTCAATCAAATTTTAAATATATTCTGCAATGCGTTCCAGTTGTACCAACTTATTTCTTTGTAAAATAAAATAAACTACTTTGAAATTAAAATGACAGACACATCTATCACTGTCAAGGATCTTCTCGTTGGACAGACTATATTATTTGTTATTTATTTAAAGGTTCTTTCTCGTTAGGTCTAATGATGCTCGTATGAGCGAAACACGTGTAACAGTTTAACATTGTTTAAACGTTGAGACCCTTTTTTCTACTTTTTTAATTCAAACCAGGTCTCTTTGAGAAGAATGGACGCCTTCTTTAAATATATATTTTAGATTTACATACAAATACCTCAATATCTAACTAGAATTCGTATTGAACACATGGATGTCAAAGAGTCTTAATAATCAATGTATGTAGATGAAAGTGCTAAGTATGACAAGCTGACAAAACAACAAATATATTGTTCTAAATCAAAGCAATTAGACGCTATTAATGTGATGGGCAAAATGCACGATATAAGTATGAAATAAGCAACACAGTTATTCAAACTTGGAGACCATAGCTAGGATACAGGATAAGAGAGCGATCTTAGATGAAATGGGAACGATGATGTTAAAAGGATTTCAAACAATTAAAACAGAGATAATTAGTGAGAATTGGAAGAGGCTTATATCCAATTTTGGATAAAAATGACTTAGAACAAGCAAATACCAGAGACCAGTATGGCTTTAGAGAGGTAATTAAATACAATTCTTAGGACTACTACGGGCCAGGAAAAAAATATGTGACATTAATGTTAACCAACAAATGTCACAACTATTTAAAATCGTGGTAATGCCCAGTTAACAATGAAGATGTGATTTTATGCAAGCCAAATTTTTGAACTGCACAAACTAACGACTTCTTCTCCAGTTTGCGAAAATTAATCTGAGAGCCTAAACAACCTAACACACCTCGACCGCCTGGTCGACCTCCTATAAGATAGTACGAAAACTGGTCTTCATCATCCCAACTGTTCCTAGGGAACCCTTGAAGAAAACACAGGACTTAGTCCTAACGTACGAAAAAGAAGAATCACTGAAAACGAATCTGTATATAGAAAGGATTGAATGATCTTTACCATCGCCAGGTGTCGATTTACTTCGGCGGCGAGCGACGTCTCCCACGTCGTGGAAGATTTAAAGTGAAAGACTCGGGTGCGGGTTCCTCCAGTTGTTCAGTGGGTTCAGTGGCGCGGAGAACGGAACCACGAGAGACGAACAGACACGCTAAAAACGAGAATGGTCGGTGTTGGTGGAGAATCGCTTTCTGCGGCCGCCGCAATTGTGACTGCGGCGCTGCTCTGTTGCACCGGTGAGTGGCATAGAAATTAGGGGTGAATATGAGAAAAGTAGTGTATGTTCCGGTGGAAAAGTGTTTGTGGACGTGAAAATGTAGAGTGTGTGGTTCTAAGAATCCGTTGACAAAGAATTTGTGTAAAAAAAAATTTCTTATAATTAACACTATGTAGGCTAAAATGGCAAATTGATTGAAATAAATTACTGAAATACATGTAATAAAACAACTGAAAGCTCTAACTCCTTTTAATATTCTAAAAAGTGAACAAAATTAGATGATATAAAACATTGAATTTTTAATAAAAAATTTCAAACTGTGATGGCTAATATGATGAATGGACAATACTTAAGTTGAAAATTCACAACCAATTATCTAATGACACATATATGTGGATATTTCCACTAATTATTGTCTCACTTTCAGATCAAAATAAATTACAAATTCACCATAATACACTTTACTTTTGAACGCGCCTTTCGCGAACATGTTAGCATCATCAGCAGATGATTAAAACTGAGTTTATGTTCATCATCTGCTGATGATGTTAACATTGTTCGCGAAACACACGCCCAGTACAAAAGTAAAGTGTTTTAGTGTATTGCGATGAATTAGTGTTTCATTTTGCTGTTACAACACCAAAGGTTCGAACCCCCAAATATAATCTCACTTTCAGAGCTAAAACAATTACTTCTAAAGTAGGTGAGATTGTTTCTATACTATATGTATACAGGGTGGCCCATCGAAAACGTTCCGCAAGGCATAACGGCCAGAATATTTTTTTTCAAAAAATCAATGGGTGACAACTTTTGCCCCAAAAATGATTGCAAAATCTTCAACCCTCTAAGCGGGGGTGTCATCCCCCAACTTTTTTCAAATGGGAAGGGGGGTCAAGTGGGACCGCAATAAAAAGGGCTTTTTATTCTCTATACTTTCCCGCTTCGTTTTTGAAAATCGGTCGAGTCATTGAGAAAATATGAAGGATTGAAATTTGAAAAGTTTATTTAAACATTTATCAGAGTAAATGATAAGGATAAATTCCTTCGACCAATTTGCTGTTTTTTCTTATTATTTCTAGATGTTTACGCGAGTCGAAGACGAGGGATAATTTTCTAAAATATTCGTGCCCGAAAGAAAAATTTCCAGGAATAATTAAGCTTGCAGTATTCAGGTAAGAAAATTTCACACCTAAATTTGAAAAAAAAATATTAATCCAACATGATATTTTAAAATAATTTCAATTTGTTAATAATATTAACAAATATTATTATATTTTTAATTAGTTACATCAAATGCTAAAACTCAAATGGGTAATATTTCAATATATAGACATTGTAGTTCATTCACATTATGATTGTAGATCTTATGTTTACCTTTTCAACTGTCAAAAATTTCCACTAAAGTTTCGTGGCGCCTCGAAAAAATTTCCGGAAATTTTCCAGTTGCTCATGGTAACTAGTCAACATTAAAGCATGTTATTGGTTGAAAAGTAGAGGTGTGAAATTTTCACTTATAATATCACAAGAGCTTAAATTATTTTCGGAAATTTTTGAGGGCACGAATATTTTGAAAATTATCCCGAGTCGAAGACGAGGGATAATTTTCCTAAAATATTCGTGCCCGAAAGAAAATTTCCAGGAATGTAAGCTTGCGTAATTCGATAAGAAAATTTCACACCTAAATTTGAAAAAAAAAAAATATTAATCCAACATGACATTTTAAAATAATTTCAATTTGTTAAGTTGGCCAAGGTATTGCTAAAACTCAAATGGGTAATATTTCAATATATAGACATTGTAGTTCATTCACATTATGATTGTAGATCTTATGTTTACCTTTTCAACTGTCAAAAAATTTCCACTAAAGTTTCAGTGGCGCCTCGAAAAAATTTCCGGAAATTTTTTCAGTTGCCATGGTAACTAGTCAACATTAAAGCATGTTATTGGTTGAAAAGTAGAGGTGTGAAATTTTCAGAGTAAATGATAAGGATAAATTCCTTCGACCAATTTGCTGTTTTTTCTTATTATTTCTAGATGTTTACGCATTTTTCACTTGCCACAAGGTTTATCGATCAGGTGCGGCAGTTGCTAGATTGCTGTTCTGTGACTTGTGCGTTGAAGTTCTTCTCAATATCGTTAAACTGTCCCAAAATAGAATTTCAAAAAATACCAGCCCACACGTTCAATTTCTGAGGGTTTTGTGTGTTCACCTCGTGAAAAACGCCTCAGCCCAGTACCGACAGTTATGACGATTAACTACATCGTTTAAAAAGAAAGTACACTCATCCGAAAAACACGCATTAAATAGGAAATTATTATCATTCGCCACTCGTTCACTCACAGTTTCAAAAAATTGCAAGCGACGATCAAAATCGTCTTCGTTGTGTTCTTGTACCAATTGAATTTTGTACGGGTGGAACTTGTGTTTTTTTAATATCCTTTGGACACTGGTACGATTCACGCCGGCTAATTTTGCATTGGCTAATTTTCTTGTACTCAGCGTACTATCCATGGCAACTTGGCCCAATACGAATACCTCCATAGCTTCATTTACTACAGGGATTTCCCTCTGCCTTTTTTTTTATTCATAACGGAACCAGTTTTGCGAAATTTTGCTGCTAACTCGCGAACAATTTTGCCATAAAGGTGTTTTTCAGGATGGAATTCATTGAATATCTGCGGAACCCGATTGCTACATTCATTATTTTTAAAATAAAGTTCGATTATTTTCACTTTTTCTGCAAGTGAGTACACTATAATTGTTAAAAAGTTTAACGATATTGAGAAGAACTTCAACGCACAAGTCACAGAACAGCAATCTAGCAACTGCCGCACCTGATCGTTCAACCTTGTGGCAAGTGAAAAAATGCGTAAACATCCAGAAATAATTAGAAAAAACAGCAAATTGGTCGAAGGAATTTATCCTTATCATTTACTCTGATAAATGTTTAAATAAACTTTTCAAATTTCAATGCTTTATATTTTCTCAATGACTCGACCGATTTTCAAAAACGAAGCGGGAAAGTATAGAGAATAAAAAGCCCTTTTCATTGCGGTACCACTTGACCCCCTTCCCATTTGAAAAAAGTTGGGGGATGACACCCCCGCTTAGAGGGTTGAAGATTTTGCAATCATTTTTGGGGCAAAAGTTGTCCCCCTCACAAACAAAATTGACGTGTTTTTGAATTTTCTGAAAAAAAATTACCCTGCCCGTTATGCCTTGCGGAACGTTTTCGATGGGCCACCCTGTATATATTATTTATTTAAAAACAGCTTTCTTAGCTCAATTTGCAAAATTGTTATTATTTAGAACTAAACAAATTATTCATATATCTGTTTTTTTTTTCTGAAATATTGATAGTTTAATAATTTGAAGAAATAAGTTCCTCTATGCCAATTTATACCAAGAGAAAACAGAGAACCCAACACTCAACCTAACGAAAACAATAACGTAATAAATCAAGATAATTGTGTCTGTTGCAAGGAAGCGTATCAATGTAGCAAGACAGACTGGTTAAAGTGTTTCTTATGTTCTTCTTGGGCACATGAAACATGTGGTATTCAGGGTATTCGAAATTTTTATTGTAATACTGCTCTTAAGATATAGTTTGTTTAAATTAAAGTTATTTTTGAAGCAATTAATGTCTTTTAACATAAATGTCCTTTTCATAACCACTACTGTCCATTCCAATACATCGATGTTTTGAAATGGACAAAAGCAACTTTTTTCAAACTTAGATATTACTGCCAATTACAATATTTCCAAAATAAATTTAGTAATATATTTTAAAAGCATATTGATGAAGCTTTCAACCTATGTAGTTTTTAATTCATTTCATTATCGATTAATAATTAATATAACTCCTTTTAATAATATGTCCACTTCATAGCGGTTTTCCCCTATAGGCTGTTCAACGATAGAATAGTGACACTGACAGCTGTTGTCTGTTCTATTAATTCAAAAATAGATTGTATTTTCTGTAATTCTTTGTTATCTGCCAAAATCTTGCCTTCTTGCGTTGAACGAATCGTTCAATATTTATATTTTTCCTTCATTTTCGCTAGAGCCAATTGAAATAGTTTTCCTCCCTTTATATTTATTAATAATACTAGACACATTAAATCAAGATATTGCTAAATGATAATAAAAAAATTATATATTATAATAAATAATAAAATTCATTTTGACAGACAATCACATTAATAAATTAAAAATTATATCCTAATCGTTTAAAAACCGTATAACAGATAAATTTATATTATGTTTCCTTATTATTATTTAAAAAATAAAACATGATATACGACTTCTTGTGTAGACTGGTACGTAACATTTATTAAGTAATAAATTTTAAAAATCGATAAATGTTTTTGCAATAAAATGCATTCATTACTCTTTAATCGCTGTAGAAAACTGGTTATACCAAGTTTCAAATTTGATTAAATAAATTAAGCTCAGAATTACATTACATTGGAACCGGAAATTTTGGAAATCGGAATACAAATATCGTTCATTATCTTTTATGCTAAACGAATACTAAAATTATGTAAAACTATCGTAGAATTTAAAAATAAAATACTACTGGTATTCTCTAAGAATACATAATGAGGCGCTTTAGAGAATTTGATTGTTTTTTATGAAAAATAACATATTTTTTATCGCTATCAAATCGTAAATTTCTGCTTACTTTCTTCTGCCTATCTTTAGCTCTTGCCGAAATAGTAAAAAATAATATACAAAAACATATTAGGTACAAATCATATTATCAGCTTATAGCTTCATTTATTTTTGGATTATATTATGCATAAAAGAAAATTGATATAGTCTGTTGACAAGTTGATCAAAATTTTACGGTTAACAGGCATCCACGATAAAGACCTTTATATAAAAAATACTTTATTGGAGTCAACAGGCAAATGCTATGCCGGGTCCAGACCAAGGCGGCAAAAAGTAAACACGATTTTAAGACAAAAACAAGACAAACTTGTGACAAAAAATGGGGAATTCTGACAAGACAAACT